TCACAGAAAGTTTAAAATAACCGTTCAGCCTAACAGAGATTATTATCCAGTCCCAGATTAACAGGTCATTAGTTTTTTTATTTAGGTTTTCAGGTTGGAAACTTCTCAACTGACTGGAAGTTTTAGTCTAGTGAAATAAAACAAAAAGGGTTTCAGAGCTTAGTCAGTTGTAAAATGCATGGTTCAGTTAAATATCCCATAAGATTTTAGTTTTATTGTCACGTTAACACTTATATAATTGCTCATCCGCCGTAATTTGTTTGTTTGTTTCTGTCTCTGTTATAAAAATCGGTCAAAGTATTTGTGTGACAGAGTTTTTAAGTGTTTTAGAAATGGTCCTCCTCATCAGCTGCAGGCATAAATATTTGCGGATTTGGGAGATGCTCAAAATATTTTCTCTCTGAGCATCACGGCGTCAAAATAAAATGTTCTATCCTTATTCTTTGTGTGCGAGTTGTTGATTCAGAGATATGTGTGGATTGAGCTGGACTGTTGCTGTTTTTATCAAACATATAAATAGAGGTTGACCTGAATTGATTTGTATGGCTGTATGGAAAAAGTGCACAATGTCTTTTAATGAATATTGCTGTGATAAAAGTAAGTAAATAAGGATCTCTGTGATGTAAATGCCTCGTACAGATGATGGGTTCAGTCTTTAGCTCTTGTGTCCTCTGGTATAAACAGTTTCATTGGTTGCTTCACTGACTTGGAAAAAATGAGCCGTGTTCCATTTTAACATGATTCTTTTTCCCTTTTCATTCCAAATTCTCACCGTGGAAAACGAGTTACTTCATGTTTCCAGTCCAAACACAGCTCTCTCAGGCCAAAGCCAAGGAGGAGGAACTGTAAACCCCTTAAATGTGTTTCGCCACCTTAATTACTTAAACTGACGCTGCTTAAAAATATGTAACGTAGAGCTCAGTTGTGTGTCAGATCGCGGCAGCCATTCCACAATCACTTGCTAATTCAGCTGAATCTGGAGGGAGATCCTTAAATCCTTCTGCATATTCTATTAAGCTGCTCATTGTTATTCTATACCTGATTTTAATTAAGAATAGTAGGAACCCAACTGTGCGATTGAAGTGTGGGTCTGTGTGTCTGTGTGCGTGTGCGTGTGTGCACGTGTGGGGTAGACAGTCGTTGCTCCTGTTTGTCGCTCTCTGCAGCACAACTCCTCTCTGCTAATCTCCAACCATTGATGGACACATTCATTCATTAGCATTCATATAATCATAAGCTCCACTGGCAAAGCTGAGCAGATGATGTGAGGTTTGGTGAATCTCACCAAACATTGCTCACAAAAGAGGAATTCTGGTGCCACCACTGGGTTAAGTGCTTTATTTTCTAGGCAAATGCTGTTTGGGGGCACGTTAGTTCAGCAGGGTCACATTTACTGTTATTTCTGCTGTTTGAGAGGAACAAAGAAAAGGTTTTCCATTAGAGCAAAACTCGTTTCTTTCTCCTGTTCTGACCACTGAGGCCGTGTTGCTCTACTGGAGTCACTTGGCCTCATCATTCTGTGCTAATAAGAGCTCCCTCTGTTCAATAGATGGCTGCAGAGCAAGGGTGTGGAAAATGAAGCTCCCACCCAGTCGATTTAAATGGAGAACTGTGATTAATTGGAATCGATGGGGTTAGCATCGACACTCACCCGCCTCCCGTCTACACAGTCATGCCTTCACTCACACTTAATGTACTTATGCTCAATTTAGCTGGTGCACAACACACACACATGTTAGAGGACTGAAATACTAATACTGAGCCAAAAAACCTGTGTGGTCAGAGACCATTTCGATTAAAAAATGCCTTTTTCAAACCAAAATGTAGTCGTATAGATGTAGCAGGAGTCTGAGGTTATGGAGACAATATTCTCTGTCCTCTCTGCAAAGGTTTGGTTTTTGTGGAGGTGTAATTCCTCTCATGCCTGCAGATGAAGTTCAGGTTTCTCTCCTGTGTCCTCTACGGGCCAAATGTCAAGTCTCAAGCCATTAAACAAAGCTGTGGGTGTATCTCCAGCTTTTAGACCCTGGGCCGCATTAACTCAAGGCCTCAACCTCATCTTTTGAAATGTCATCGCTCCACGGGACGAAGGATTTCTGTTGTGGTGTAGAGAGCAGTGTCTGCAGTTTGAGTTAAAGCCGGGCTGTGACTTTAGTTTGTCCCACATTGTGGATATCAGCCGTGACAGTTAGTGTTAGTTGTGATTTTTTTTGGTAAACATTAAAGATATGTAACATGTACATTAAAATATATTTAGGTGACTTGTGAACTTACATTATCCAACATGTTTCTGGTTAATGGTCACATGACGAAGGAAAAACACGCTGCTAGCCAGTTAGCGGGTCTGCTGTTTTTTGTCTCTCCTCATTGCAGTTTGCTGCATAACGTGAATACAGTTTTAATGCATGATTTCCTTCGTGAACATGATTTGCTCAGTTTGGTCTTTTGTTTTGATTGGGAGACCCCTAGTGGCTGAAGTTACATATTGTCCCTTTAAGATAAGAGTGCTGAACTCCACTGTGACCTTATGTAGTTTTGTTTAAAATCAGTTTGTGTTTCGACCTTTTGTTGAACATCATTAATCAGCCGCACTCTACCGGCCACTTCGAGAGCTGAATAAAGTTTTATTAATGTGTCGCTCTTTAGCGCACACACACACACACACACCATATGTCAAGCAAAATAAAAATGATGCAAACACCAATTCACTGAAGCTGAGACACTGAAACTCAAAAATGAAGTTATGCCCTCAATGTAGTAACATCAATCACTTCTACTGCTTTTGTGAATCAAGTGGAAATTCTATGACTTAATTAAAATCATCTGGATATTTAAAGTGATCTGTTTAAATATCCATCTATATTATCTTTCAATTTTCTGTGTAAATCAATTTGAAACGCAGATTCAGAGGTTTAATTATTACAGTAAAACCCCATCAACATGCAACTATACCATTATATCCAATGAGCTGCAGAACCTGCAATTAAATGTATGCTTTGATGTTTTTTTTTCTTTATAAGCTGAATTTTCACTGAAACCCTGATAAACATCCCAGAATTCCCCTCTGACATCGGTCAGACTGATTGCTCACAGCGAACCGCACCTGCTAATCATAAAACTTGTTTGATTCAGTGCAGAGCTTCAGTCACTCTAATCTAAATGATTCAGCTGAGGCTTATTTTTTTACCCTACCATCATTATAGAGTGGATGATTGGCAGCTTTGATAATCAGTAATATCTGCGGCGGCATCTGAGCGGCACCATTGTGCTGAGATGAACGGAGAAAAGCTGTGGCCGAGAGCAGAGCTGTTGGGGGCCTTATCTTGTAGTGTGATTTACCCTGGAGCCGCTCCTGGGAGGGGATTCGAGGAGAGCGGCCAGAGACGCCAAATAATCACTCAGCAACTCCTCGGCATCACTTCCTGTGTGAGAGCACGGTCATAGGCGGCAAAGATGAATTCACAAACAGATAAAGACACAGTCACAGAACCAGAATACCTCTTTCAACTTGGTCACACATCTTCTTATCCCTTCATTTCAGCTTCGCTCTGTCACTCTCTCTCTCTCTCACTCTCTCTCTCTCTC